GGGACCAATTGCTCTTTTGGGTGGTAGACCTTTCTAAAGATCTCTGGTTCATTAGAAGGCCTGCTCTCTGTTTTTTTCTGAGTGTCTGAGGCTATACCTTTTCAAACTTTTCTCAGATCATGACAACTGAAAGTTTGAAAGCCAAAAATGAAGGAAACCTGGCTGCAACCAAGCATGCCTTAAAAACGCCCATCTCTGGACTGCTACAAAACCAGATGTAAAGTTGATATCCCACCAAGGTAGCATTGGTTCCTGTAACTTCAATGTGAGAATCTGGGATGGGCACAACTTTGTAATGCAGAAGCTGTTATATTTATATATATTTGTTTACAACCATATCCCACTGTCCTTCCATGATGGAATTCAAGCCAGAAGGGTTCCCATCTGGCCTCCCATTCAGGTAGTGACCAGACACAGATCTGCTTAGCTTCTACAAGGTTCTCTTTCATGTGACTTTAGACCACATCTTGAGAGGCTTTGCTGTGTTTGCTTTTTAATTATGTGAAGAGCTATAGCAGTTGCCTTCTCTCTTTCTTTCAGATCACTGAAATTAATTGTGTCTATCTGCCAGTCCTCTCCCACCTTTTAAATTAATGGTTACAGGTTCTCTCCATGAGAAAGCTCTTGACAAATATCCAGCAAATTATTGAGAAGAGGTTGGTTGGTAATTATTCTGCCCCCTCTTCTTCTTGTCTTTTGATAATGATGTGGACAGCTCACATGTTAGATAGAGTCTAATTACCTTTCCATGTTAGTGATTTGAAATTTACTTTAATGAATTGAATCAGCGTTAGCATTTTTTTTAAAGGCATGGCCGACTACAAGAGACAGGTTTAAGGAAAAAAGAAACAAAACAAGCTTTTGTAAAAATGCACTCATGCTTATATTTTACACACACTTATGAGTCAAGGTCTCCATTATTATTATTATTGCTTTCTGTGACATGCATAACAAAAGATAAACTTGACACACCTTAATTCTAATCAGGTCTAAGCATAGAGATCCACAGCATTGCAAAATCCAGAGTGTGGCATGCACTATACGTATTGTTTCATTGCATACTTCTTTTTGACATTTATATTTTAATTAATCTCCCAAAGGAAATTCTTTGAATGACCGAAGAAAATGGAAAGAGGTGGAGGGAAGGGAATCTGATTGTTCAGGTCCAGGTCAGCAGAGCAGATTAAGTTCTGACAAGAAATCCATCAAAAGCACAGCACTGAAACGGAACATGCTGCTGCAGCGGCAGCTGTGCTGCCTATTCTCTGTGTAAGGCAAGCAAGGCTGTTCTCCCTTTGGCACAAAGGGCCTTTCAGTTGCTAGGAGGTGGATATCCCTCCTGCTTAAAAAACTCATTTCACTTTTTTCTGGGGAGGGGGGCGAAAGTGAAATAGAAGGTACAGGATGAGAATGCAACATCAGCAGCAACAAGAAACAACCATTTTGTACACTTCGAAAGAGCAAGGTGTAAGAGATTGCTGGGGGTGGGTGGGGAGTGAGCCATCTGATTCGAATGCAATCGAAAGCGCTGATCCAGAAATCCAGCCTCTGTGGGTACGTAGGTGGATGACTGCATCTCTGCAGAATAGCAGAGGAAAACAGACAATGGACATCCCCACCCTGACATGTTCAATTAAATAAAATGAAGTGCAGCTCTCCCACCCCGTGTAGCTGATTCACTGAAATGAAGACTAACTCAGTGGGCAGTTCAGGCATGTGATGAAATGTGTCACATAGCCTGCCCTCCCCTGGATTCACCATGGGGCCAAACTGAAATGCAGAACAGGTTCAGAATGCCAACTTGGAATGAATGGGAGAATGTGCCGACAAGCACAAAGAACAATAAACTTGTGGGATTTCCTGTTTCAAGATGCTGTAGTGACAGCTATTGGCTCAGATGGCTTTGCAGGGAAATTAGACAAAGTTATAGATAAGCAGGATACCCAAATGGAAGTTGGAGCCTTAGAGGCAGTATATCTGTGAATGTGGGTTTTGGGTTTTTTGGGAGGGGAGCCACAGTAATTCTGTGTCCAGGGCAGCTGTCTACCAGCTCCATCTGGTATGCAGGCTGAGACCCTACCTGCCCGCAGACTGTCTTGCCAGATTGGTGCATGCTCTGGTTATCTCCTGCTTGGACTACTGCAATGCGCTCTATGTGGGGCTACCTTTGAAGGTGACTTGGAAACTTCAACTAATCCTGAATGCGGCAGATAGACTGCTGACTGGGAGAGTTTGCTGGGACCATATAACGCAGTCCTGAAAGTCCTACATTGGCTCCAAGTACGTTTCCGAGCACAATTCAAAGTGTTGGTGCTGACCTTTAAAGCCCTAAATGGCCTCGGCCCAGTGTATCTGAAGGAGTGTCTCCATCCCCATTGTTCAGCCCAGACACTGAGGTCCAGAGCCAAGGGCCGGCTGGTGGTTCCCTCACTGTGAGAAATGAAGTTACAGGGAACCAGGCAGAGGGCCTTCTCGGTAGTGGCACCCGCCCTGTGGAACGCCATCCCATCAGATGTCAAGGAAATAAACAACTATCTGACTTTTAGAAGACATCTGAAGGCAACCCTGTTTAGGGAAGTTTTTAATGTTTGATGTCTTATTGTGGTTTTAATATTCTGTTGGGAGCCACCCAGAGTGACTGGGGAAACCCAGTCAGTTGGGCAGGGTATAAATAATAAATATTATTATTATTATATTATAGCATGGGAGGGGAGCTGTCTTCATGCCCAGATTTCTGAGCTTCCTGAAGATGCCTGGTTGGCTTCCATTGGGAACAGGATACTGGATTAGATGGGGATTGATGCATCAGGGTTCCTTTTATGCATTTATGGGCAGAGTCAGCTCATATTGTACAGTTCTAAAAGGCTCAGTTAAACTAGCTCTTACTCTGGAATAAACCTACAGAGTTCACCAGGATTGTGCTGGGGGCAACGGCATATATTGCTGCAAAAGTCTTCTCCGTAGCAAAGACTTTAACTATTTGTTTGTATCAAATGACGCTTAACCACATATGTAGCAATAGCAGCCAGGTATGGATTTGCTATTTCATAAGGCTTGCTTGTGTCTGTGCATTTAGGCTATAGTGTTCCATGCACATGCTCAGTCACTTGGCAAGGAGAGATATTCAGTCTAGAAGTAGGAAATGGTTAACATTTTGGAAGGATGATATTGATGTCACTGAAAAATGTCAAGGGAGCTTTACAGAAGAAGGGGCAAAATTTAGATACCCCCATCCCCAGAGGTAATTCAAAAAACAGCCCTTAACTAAAATAATGATGGGGAGCCAAATAATCTATGTCATTAATTGATTTTTAGACCATCACCATTTCCCCCCAGGAAGACATCTGTTGTTCTTTTTCCCTTATGCAAAAACACTATTTGTTTTGGAAACCATAGACAGATGAAACGGGCACCGCAATCCTATATCTGCTGACCAGGAAGTAAGTTCCATTGCACTCAACGGGTCTTTACTTCTCCATAGTCATGTATAGAATGGCACTGTGAACCAGAAGCATCATTTTAACATGGAGCACTCAGATATGAGAGGTATTTTTGAGAAGATGTGCTCAAATCCTCATGGGAAAAGGCTTCAGACGATGCCTTGTGTGGAGGCACCAGGTTGCCCCCAAAACTGAGTGGGCCAGCTGCGTGTTGCGCCTGCATGACGTCACATCGTCTGGAGGAGCCGGCCACTGAACTGACAACATGTGATCCATGTGACATCATGCACACACAACAAGGGGCCCCTTTCCAACAAACATTGAGGAGGGCGAAGACACATTGGCCCACTGGAGTTGGGGCACCTGGCTTCATGAGAATCATGGCGTTGCTCGCAGGAGAAGCTATCAAGCATCTACAGGAGCGATGGGGAACCTTTAGCCCTTCAGATGTTGTTGGAACGCAACTCACATCAGCCACAGCCAGCAGGCCCAATGGTCAGTGATGGTGCATATTGTAGTCCAACGACATCCTTGATCTATAGGCCATTCTAGACACTGCATTGAATGTGTAGGTGCCGCCCCAAACAGCAACCACCCACTGACTCCCTCCTCTTTAACATATTGGAGAACTTACCTATTGGAGATCTACATCACTGGATTTCGCTTGTTTGCGGTGTAGTTACTAATGACATAGAGTTAGGACCCACAACAGGCAAATTCTATTTAATGTAATGGGAAGTGGGGTGGGACAGATAAACATTTGGCTATTATTATTATCATTATTTTGCAGCTGTGCATTTAAGTGTCATGTATAAGGATGCCACAGCAATTGGACCGCCCTCATTTTTGCTATTTGTCTGACTGTCCTGAAATGCAACTTATTTCCACTGCTGTCTGGTTTACTATCTGCCAGGAAAACAGATGACGATCGGCTGCCTGGGCAACTTCTTCTGCATGGTGGCGGTCAGTGGGGGTGGGCAGGGAGCAGTAGCTGGGTATGGAAACTCTTGTACCAGCTAGCCAAAAATGTAGAGATCATTATGGGATGCATACTTAGACTCCCATCCAGATGCACCTCCTATTGGAAGAAATGAAGTGAACACCCATATTTGGATACACATGGGGTAGCTGCTGGAGGGACACCTAAAAGCACAGATATCTGAGGCTCTCTTCAATTAGTTCTGATATTATGAAGCAGATAGGTGGAATTTTTTTTGGCAACAAATGGATTGGTTTTGAACATCTCTAGTAGTATCTGTTGGCCAAAAAACAAACAAACAAACAAACAAAAAACCTATCACTGAACTACACAGCTTGATTTAGTGCCAGTACCAATTTTTAGAAGTAGCACTGGAGTTCCAATTGAACCATAAAAAATGAGAAAACTTCATACATATTCAGAGGCCTATGTGCAAGAACCTTTTGTCTCCCTGGGAAGAAACCAGGGCTTCTGTAGAACCCACAGGGATACTGGGGCTAAAATCAGATTGCAAAATAAGTGTTCAACTCCAAATACTGAAATGACCACAATGTCGAAAAGGTTGACCTGTAAAAGTTTACCTTTGGAATGCCTGCTGCGGTTTCTGATAATCGAGGGTAGGTATATGAGCTATACGAATGGCCTTGCTGATGGGACTTAAAAGCACTTGCTCCATAGGGCATGATTGGCTCTTGGAGACCAGAGCCTGACCTGGACCTCTGTCTCATGGCAGGTTGAGGGCTTGTCTGGTTTACATAGGACGACTTTGGCCTTTTGTCATAATCATCCTTGGCCCAGTCGCTGTCACTGTACTCTAGTCTCTCTCCTGAGCAATGACTGTGAATGGAAGTCCTAGAAGGAGTGAAATGAAAAGGTTCTTTATAATCCAGGGACGATCCGCTAGGAGCCCTCTGATATTCCAGCTTCAAGCCACCATACTCATTCAGTTTGCTTTTCGTTTCCATGTGAGCATGATAATCTGGCAAGAACCTAGAGATATCAGACTTCAGGGGCTTAGCTTCCGAAAAATACATTTCGCTGGCTTTCACTTTTGCCATGTGCCCATTTTGCTTGGCAGCACAGCTGCCCCTGGAATATCTGTCCAACTCTTCCCCATGAATGCTCTTGTCTCTGTACTTTTCGGCAAGGAAGTCCGTAGCGGTCTCCGACTCGCTCGAATACTGAGAATACGTGATGTAGCCATTTTCCTGCTGGTGAATTTCGATGTGATTGGCGTGTCCCAGGCGAGGGGTGGGAGGGCTCTCCTTCCGGAGCGAGTTGGAACGTGTCACAGAGATATTGTCGAATTCTTCGAGCAATCCATTGATTGAAGTATCCTTGCAAGGTTTATTTCCTCTAACGATGGTCTGGGAACAGAAGATAGCTTTTGATTAAAGACCGTCTTAGATTTCATGTTACTGTGATAAAACTATTGAGCAGAGCAATTTCAACAATGCGGCGCGGAACAGGCTGATAGCCTGCCATGTCCCTCCATCAAATGAAACATTTTAGGACAAAAAAAATGTCATTTCCTCCTAAAGATGCATTATTGCATACTGTTGAAAACTCCATATACAAGTAGAGACTATTATAATAAATTGCTACTTGATGCCAGTCTGTACCAGTGCCAGGCAACGCTAACAACTAGTTTGCCAGCATACAACTGAATGAAAAGAAATCACTCCTCAGTTTAGATTTACTTATACAAGTGGATATGGAGCACAGGATGTCCGCTTATTATTGGGCACTTTATTCTTCCCTAAAAAGAACACTTAAGGTAACACTACCAAGGCATTGTGAGGCAGAAGGAAGAAAAGGAACAAGATATACAAGGGATACTTTTCTTTTTGGCTCTGAACAGCTTTCATGGCATCTCAAACTGAGCTTTAATAATCTGCTCACTTCTTAACAGGGCCAGAAGCCCGGAAATAGCTAGAGTGCCATCCTGTCAGGGACTGGACTGAGGGGGAATGGTGGAGACTGTTCCCCTCCTCCTGCACTTCCCAGAGAAAAGGGAGACAGCATAGATTTAGAAGAGTGGCTTGCAGAAGGTCACAGTTCAGAGGCTGCAGAGGGGAGAAGCTGGGAAATAATGGGAGAGGAGGAAGAAGAAGTACCAAGTGAGAGACAGCTAACAGATTGTGTGTCTTTGGAAAGCACGCCAGACCCTCCCTCTCCCAGCTCCTGGCGGGCTTTGAGTAGGAGAACAGAAATCTCAGAGGCAGAAAACACAGATTAACTGATGTAGGAATGATGTATAATAGGAGAGATGGAGGGTGCGGGACTTTATTCGAAGCAACGCCATTGTCTGAGAGAAGACATCCTACGTCTCCTTCTGTGAATATTGAATAAATTACCTTGGTAAGAACGTCTTGTTTTCCCATTTCTGGCAGCCAGCTGTGAGGGAGGGGGATCGGATTCCCGGAAGCCTGACACATACCCCACAAGCGTCCTGATTTTCCAGGGACAGTCCGAGAATTATGAAAGCCACCCTGGTTTCTGATTTGTCCCTGTTTCCCCCACCAGTGCTGCTGCTGCCAAGCTTGGGGAGGAGGATAAGCCGCCAACTTGTCTTGAGTGGTGGCAGTGAAGGAGCATCCCATTACCTCTCCATGGCTGCAGCAGCCAGCATCCTCCCTTGGCCAGTTCATAACAGCAGCTGGAGAGGGGTCGAGGAGGAAGAGAGGGTGCTGCCGCCACCGGGGCCCATCCCCACGGCTCTGAGGGGCAAGCAGAGGGCCGGGCTTGCACTGGTTTCTGTCTGCAATTACAAGCTGATGTTGCTGTTTTGTGGCTTTTGATACTGAAACCATAGGGTCGAACGAGGTGCGGCAGATGTGCTCCCCTTTGACTTTGAAGCCATTCAGTAATGTGACTGTCTTTCAATTGACAGCCCATTCATATTTAATTACCACATCATAAAACAGCACGATTGGCAATGAAATGCTTTATAATTTAATGCAAGACTGAAGCACCCAAGGGAAACCCACTTCCCCTGTGTCAACATGTTGCTCAGATACAAGGGCCGATTTAATATTCTCCCTGTGTTTAGGCTTCAAGGCAGAGGAGATTCTTCTCTCTCTCTCTCTCTCTCTCTCTCTCTCTCTCTCTCTCTCTCTCTCCTTGCTCTCCCTCCCTCCCTTATTTTGTCTGTGCTTGTAGATTCTCTCTGCTTCTCTGAGCAGAGAGGAGGACCCTATGGAGGCAGGAGGTTGCTCTGCATACAAAATGATATATTCCCCCTTCCTCCACCTGAAACAGCTCTTTTTTATTTGTGCCTTATCTGGGGTTGTTCACCCCACACACCACCTCCTGGAGGAATTCTGAAGACACCTTCGCTTACTTGGCCCTGAATCCTGATGAAAATCCATGCGTTGAAGAGAAAGCTACTCCTTGCGATAGGAAAAGAGATGGGGGCAGGGAAGGGTGTGATTTGCACAGAGACTGCGGCTTTGTAAAGGCCTCCTGTAGCTGACATGGGCAGTGGGTGACACTGGTTCATCATCATCATCATCACCTGTGCTTTTATTCAGTTGGAACTGAGAGAAACTCAATTCCAGCACCTCTCAGGTGGGTGCCAATGCCATTGTAAGAGTACAAGTTCATGGTGAGTTTCAGCACCTCTTTTTCTAGAAAAATAGCACTGATAATAATAATAATATAATTATTTGTACCCTACTGATCTGACTGAGTTGCCCCAGCCACTCTGGGCAGCTTCCAACAAATATAAAAGCATAATAAAACACCAAAATTAAAACTTCCCTATATAAGGCTACCTTCAGATGTGTTCTAAAAGTTGTATAGTTATTTATCTCCTTGACATCTGATAGGAGGGTGTTCCACAGGGCAGGCACAACTACCGAGAAGGCCCTCTGCCTGGTTCCCTGTAACTTCACTTCTCTCCATGAGAGAACCACCAGAAGGCCCTCGGAGCTGGATCTCAGTGTCCGGGCAGAATGATGGGGGTAGAGACGCTTCTTCAGGTATATAGGGCTGAGGGCATTTAGGGCTTTAAAGATCATGCCCAGATCCAGCAGCTAGGAACCCTCTGTGTGAGCTTCAAAGGAGGGGCCCCTCATTTGTGGAATGATATCCCCAGGGAGGCACAAATTTTATTTACATATTTGGGAGCAATGACTTTTCTCTTAGCCCAGACTTTTGACTCTTAAACTTAGGGGCAAAACTGTGACCTCTTTTAATGGGGTCAGATTAGTTAATCCTGCCTTTTGATTTTCTAGCTGTGTTCTTAGGGTTTTGTGGTTGTTTTTAGTTGTGTGTTTTTTAAAAAAAGTTACTTTGGATCACTTTGTGAGAAAAGAAATCATCACCAACAACAGGCCCTTGCCTGCCTGATGGTCATATTTGTTGGGTATTTGCAAACTGCATTACACAGGGCAGATGTTTTTAAAGACACATCCTAATAAGGATTGATTTAGGGCACAGTTGCTAATTTTAAAGACACATCCTAATAAGGATTGTTTTAGGGCACAGTTGCTAATCTTCAGTGATTTCTCCTCCAAGAGGAAACCAAAGGAAATCACTTGCCTGTGGGACTTCTTAACACTCAAGGATGTGGGGAAACTCAGTAGATTTATAGTCATAGCATGAGGGAAAGCAACATGGTAACTTCCAGATATCGTTGGACTCTATTCTCTACCAGCTCCAACCAATGTGGTCAATGGTCAGGGATGATGGGAAATGTAGTTCAAGAACACCTGGAGGGCCACCTCCTTCATAATAGTATAACATTCCAAAATATTGTTGCGTGTTCCTCATACTGCTAAGCAGTGAGAAGTCCCAGGACAGTGCTATGTGAGAGTTCGGTTTCCTCTTTGGAGGACTGATCACCAGAGACATATGGAGAAGGAAAACTCTTGCTGTCTTACAGGATAACTTCTGCTGTCTTGCAGGATATCTTTGGGAGAGAAAAAGGCTCAGGAGTAAACCCTCCACAAATCTGGAGTGGAGTCCCTAAGATGGTTGGATGGCGTCTGGCATGGCTCCTTCCTGCAACTCCTGCAGCCAAGCTGGTGCCAAACGTATCACTCTGCTTTCCATTGGATCACATCAGCATGGCCAAGAGGAGGGATCTGGTCATTTGGGCAGCCCAGGATCTCCGAACACACTGCTTGCTGGAGGTGAACTCCATTGTCTCCCCATTGCCAACAATACTAACCAGGCATAGTTGCAGGCAAGCAGCATATATTCTCCTAGGAGGTGAGCTGAACTGGTATCTCACATCAGACCTTACCTAAGAACTTAAGAAGAGTCTGATGGATCAGACCAAAGATCCATCTAGACCTTCACTTGCTCTCACAGTGGCCAACCAGATGTCCACGGGAAGCCCATTGTCAGGCTTCAGGGATTCCTATCCCTCCCATGGTGGCAGCAAAGAAGCAGATAAAACAAGAGGAGTTCTTACCAAGTAGTTTATTCAATATTCACTGCGAGAGACAAAGGAATGCGGTCTCTTCTCTAGGTAATGGCGTTTCTCCAAGTAAAGTCCCACTCCCTCCACCTCTCCTATTCTACATCACCCTTGCGCCAGCTGATCTGTGCTTTCTGTTCTACTACTCTCAATGCACACCTGGTCCTAGGAGAGGAGTGGTGGTCAGGAATGCTTTCTAGAGACTCTGAGTCTGTCAGCTGTCTCCCCCTGGTGCTTCTCCTTTCTGCTACTCTCCCAATATTTCCCAGCTTCTCCCCTCTGAACTATGACCTTCTGCAAACCACTGTTCTAAATCTATACTGTCCTCCTCTTCTTGGGAAGGTGCAGGAAGAGGGGTGGTGGTGGTTCCTACCATTCCTCCTCAGTCCAGTCCCTGACACCCACAAGCCGAGCCTGATCACAACCGCACCATCCCCAATTGTGATTCCCAGCAAAAGGCTTGTGCTTTCAACATGCATTCATAGCCCACACACCCATTTTATTGTTTGTAACAATGAGTTGACCAGAGGTACAAGATGCTCTCAAGGAGTTTCAAAACAGGGGCAGGGGGCAGGACAAGAAGAGGACATTCTCCCACATGGCACCCCTGTGCATAGCGAAGACGAGAGCACGCACCGCCCCACCGTTTCAGCTCCTATTTGTTATCATACCTCTATCTCTGGCGAGTGCTAAACAGCATGCATTAATGCAAACGAGAACACAGCTTGGGAGAAATCAATATCGCAACGCTGAGTTATGCCACGCCTCTGTGGCATAGCGACTCTCATACATTAAAATCAATGAAAGGCAATCTCTTTGAGTTAAAGCCCACTTCTCCTTAAGAGCAGATATCCTCTGCTTTCCATTGCTTTCTGACGAGTTCCGGCATTTGTTCTGGCTGCCAGTGACAATAGCCATAATTCATGGTGTTATGTTAGC